ATGAAAAAATTAAAAAGAAAAGAGCTACCAAGAGAAGGACAAAATCAGTATATGCATTTCGCCTGAAATGCAGATCTGATTATAAGTGTGGTAAATTCAGAGGAAATATGCACCTTGAACTTCCAAGCCAAATGTAAATAGGCTACAATTCTTCACAGATAGTAAGAGGTCAGAATTTACTTAGAAAGAAGTTCAAGCTATATTACTGATCCACTTCAAAGATAAGTTTTTGCAGTGTGGTGGGTGTGTGCAGTGCAGTGCAGCTGGGGTATGTAATGCAGTGGGGCAGGGGTGTGCAGTGCAGGGGAGCTGGGGTGTGTAATGCAGCAGGGCAGGAGTGTGCAGTGCAACAGAGCTGGGGTGTATAATGCAGTGTGGCAGGCGTGTGCAGTGCAGTGGGGCAGGAGTGTGCAGTGTAGTGGAGCTGGAGTGTGTAATGCAGTATGGGAGGTGTGTGCAGTGAAGTAGGGTGGGGGTGTGCAGTGTAGCGCAGCTGGGGTGTGTAATGCAGTTTGGCTGGGGTGTGCAGCACAGCGGAGCAGGGGTATGCAGTGCAGTGGGGCTGGGGTGTGCAGTGTAGTGGGACCAGGGTGTGCAATGCAAGGAGGCAGGGGTGTGTAATGCAGTGTGGCGGGGGTGTACAGTGAAGTGGGGCGGGGGTATGCAGTGTAGTGGGCTGTGATGTGTAATGCAGTGCGGTGGGGTTGTGCAGTGCAGTGGATCAGGGGTGTGCAGTGCAGTGGGGCTGTGGAGTAGGTCCCCGGAGCTGATCATGCAGAACCACAGGTCACGTCAGGGTGCAGCTTTTTTTCCCCCCACGCTCTCAGAATTAAGCACAAATCTGTAGCGTGGCACTCAGTGTTCTCCAAAGTCTGGCTCACTGGAGCGCTATCTCCCTAACTGCTTATGCTTGTACTTTCTCCCAAAGCCATTGCCCGATGTGCTAGGTTCTCCCTGCCCTGAATATCTCTGGGTGTGCTATTTCTTCTGTCTGCGGGATGCTCCTTCCCACCACTTCCCTTCTCACTTTTGGTGGTCTGGGCTAATTTTAGGCATTGACTCTTCCAGAAAGTCTTTCTATGCTGTATTAACAAGTGGCTAAGCTGCAGGTTTTCCCATTTGTTTCCACAGAATATACTACTACCCTCAAACCCTTGGTCATGTTTACGTGGGTTTCTTAGCTCCTTGAAGTTAGGGAATGGGCGCATTTACCTTGTATCCCTTGTTCCTAACAGGGTTTGGCATACAATATCAATATTTGTTGAATGAATGAATAATGGATCTTGAACAATGTTCAAAATCACTGTACAAAAATCTTAATAAAAGGTTGTATAAATTATCAGATCCACATAAAAGGTGACAGTTTGGGAGAAGCTCTACTTCTGAATCATTCTGTAAAATCTTCAAATCTTTCATGTCACTGAAACAATTTAGTCTAACATTTGTCCATCCACTAATTAAATAAGAAGCGCCAACTAACTTAATCAAGGTTTACATCGCCAGAAACTCCCAGCAGAAATGAGATGGGGGAGATTTAATGGGGGAGATTTAAAAAAGTAAAGTACAAAGCCACTTCTCTTTGTTTGTTCTCCATGGAATTACCATTAAATCATTCTTCCTCTGTCTTCTCTACTTAATAAAATAAAGGCCACAGGGAACCAGGAACAGGTAATCAAAGTCGAGCACAATGCCTCCCTCTTTCCTAACACTTCTTCCTTTAGTACATTAGAGAAGAAAAGCCTGGGGAATCAGAAGCTGTCAGCAGGTGAGAGAAACAGGCCTTTTAAGTACTTTGATGTCAGGCTAAACTGAAACCAATGAACCAGTACAAACCTCAAAAGGATCTAAGAGTCCAGACTCCATATTAGAAAACCAAAATGGGTTAGCAGAAATGCTTCTAAGCAAAATGTGTATTTATTATACACACTTATATAATTGACTTAAAAAAAAGCAAATTAGCAAAATATTTAATTCTTCTTACTTTATGTTTCCTTAAAGCCTTCTCTTTGTTTTTTAAAAAAATTTTAATGTTTTTATTTACTTTTGAGAGAAGGAAGAGAGACAGTGCACAAGCAGGGAAGGGGCAGAGAGAGAGGGAGACACAGAATCGGAAGCAAGCTCCAGGCTCTGAGCTGTCAGCACAAGGCTGGGATAGAACTCATAAACTGAGATCACTGAACTGAAGTTGGATGCTTAGCCAACTAAAGTATTAGGCAACTCAGGCACCCCTAAGGCTTTCTCTTTGACTCTGATGTCTGGTTTTCTATCAAATTCAATGTTGGTATAAATAATATTGTGTAATACATAAATAAGCTTCCTAATCTGTATACTAATTAAGATTCACCAGTGTCTTAGGCCTTAAATTAATAAATGAAACTGTGACAATATGCCCAAATCATAGAAATAAGTTTATAATCATAGGCAAATCCTGATCTAAAAGCTGAAAATGCAAACCTACAATAAAACAGAGTATAACAGGTTGGTTGTCAGGAAATTTACATTGTGTCTTCTTATAAAACATGACCTCAGATGAGTAACAATGTCATTTGCTAATGGAGTTCTTTCTCTCTTCAGGCCCAGTATGAACTCTGCCTCTTTATAATTCATTCTGAAAACAGAGTTCCCACTTAGAGACCAGTACAAAGTACCCAACAGTATCTTTGGGGCATTATTTTGTTTTGTTCTGTCTTGGGCTGCCTAGCATTTGAACTTCCTACTTATTAGATTGGAATTCCTGCTATGAAATCAAAAAAGGAAAAGACACCTCTTCCTCCACTGCCTGGTGCTTTAGGCATATAACCTAAAACTGGCCAACTAGGTGTTCCTACTATGGCAGTCGAGGAGATTAATTCCAGTAAGCAAGACTAGTTAGCAGACAATTTGTGGGTTCTCCTTAAAATTTCACCACTGCCCCTTCTCTCTTGGGGTGTGCTATTTTTTCTGAACCTGGTTTTTCAGTCTTCCCTTTCCGTGAATTCCTCTGATGTTTAAATGAGCTGAAGCTGGCATTTGTTAATACAACCAGGCTGATACCCAACCTGAGCAAAACTGGCTCAAATTTTCTCTCTTCACTGTTTGCAACAACTCAGGATTGAGACATTGGATTGTCCCAGTTGCCTTTTTTGAAATCTTTTGGAAGTCTAAACAGGAATATTGTTGATATGAAAGGATATCATTTCAGAGAGTCAAGGAAAGTTGACCAGATTTTCTAAAAATGAAGTACAAACCCTAAATAGTTTAAAAAATCAAAAGAAGAGAATGAATGTGCTTCCAAAAGCCCTGAGGTAAAAGCAAATGCTTCCAAACTCTACTATGACACATTTTGCTCAATCAGTAGTTCTCAACTAGTAACCATTTTGTCATCCAGGGGACATTTGGCAAAATTTGGAGACATTTTGATCATCAAAGCTGCTGGAGGGGTACACTGACATCTAATGGTTAAAGACCAAGAATGTTGCTAAACATGTTACAATGTACATACACACCAGCACCCCACAGCAAAGAATTCTCTGCTTTAAAAATGTCAGTAGTGTCAAGGTTGTGAAATGCTGCCCTTTAAGTCATATATAAATAAATGTCCTACAGAGTTAGAATACGTGTTTCGTAGGCCACAATATCCAAATACTTTTATAATTACTTGTGAAACCTCATTTCCACCCTAATGTTAAAAGGAAATCTTATGGGGCACCTGGGTAGCTTAGCCAGTTGAGCGTCCGACTTCAGCTCAGGTCATGATCTCAGAGTTCCTGAGTTCAAACCCCATGTTGGACTCTATGCTGACAGCTTGGAGCCTGGAACCTGCTTCATATTCTGTGTCTCCCTCCCTGTCTCTCTCTCTCTGCCACTCTCCTGCTTGTGCATGCGTGCTCTCTCCCTTTCTCTCTCTCTCAAAACAAGGAAGGAAGGAAGGAAGGAAGGAAGGAAGGAAGGAAGGAAGGAAGGAAGGAAGGAGGGAGGGAGGGAGGGAGGGAGGGAGGGAGGGAGGGAGGGAGGGAGGAAAGGAAAGAAAGAAAGAAAGAAGGAAAGAAAGAGTCTCATAACTCATCTCTCAGTATTGTAATTCACCCAAGAAGTAAACAGATGGGAAAGAACAAGAAAAAAGAGCAAAGAAGGGAAAGTCACAGGACGTAAAAAGACCTGTAAAGGGCCAGGTGTCCCTAAGGGCATGCCAGGATCCCCAGGGTGAAGAAGAGTTGTGTTCATGACAAAGAATATCTAAAATAAAGCTTGGAGAAATGCTGTGATCAGATTTCAAATGTCTTCTACATCACAGGAGCCTAGATTATACTAAGTGACAGTAAATTTTTTTAATGTTTATATATTTATTTTGAGAGAGAGAGAGAGAGAATGAGCGGGGGAGGAGCACAGGGAGGGAGGGAGAGGGAGAAGCACAAGCAGACTCCCCTCTGTCAGCGCAGAACCCAACATGGGACTCGATCCCGCCCACCCTGAGACCATGACCTGAACTGAAATCAAGAGTTGGACACTTAACAGACTGAGCCACCCAGGTGCCCCTAAGTAATAGTACTTTTTAATGAAAACATTTTTAACTAGCTGTTCTTCAGGGAGAAAACTCTGGTGTCACACCAGGTGGTGATCCAACATGAGTGGAGGCTGGTGACCGGGAAGTCGGGGAGGCAGCTGCACTCATACAAGAGCTGAAAAGGCACTGGGCTAACATGATTGCAACATCCATGAGAGCAGAGGCCAGGAGAGGATCTGAACATATTCTCAGAGGCTTGCTCCCCTCTCCCTGCAAAATGAGTATTCTCCAGTACTGTAACATATATATGGGCTATAACTCTATCCATATAACATAAGGGATAAAAACTAACTACATTAGTTAACATACCTCTATTGTTTCCAGTGTGCATCAAAACAAAACCAAAGTCACCTATGTCAATGAATTAAAGTGAATTAAAGTTTAAACAATATAAATGTGTTTTATTTCAGTAATTTCTATATGATTTCCAAATAACATATAAAGTGTCTGATATTACCTGCTCCAGAACTTCTTTGTAGGTAATAGTTGCTTTAGTATCTGTAACAGGACTGTCATAGATGATAGCAATCTTATCTCCTTGACCATTTTCAATATGACGATCGATGGCATTGTAACAGATGTTAAGCATTCCTTCCACAAACCTGAAAATTTGGAAGGTAAAGTTTAACAATTCTTTCCAAAATATACTGTTGCTTAATAGGTTCTATATTTCTAGTTTGGCAGCACTGCCCTTAAATTAGTGTTTCCCCATACATGCGATGTCAGGTGATGATATCTGGTAAGTAGATATTTAAGATGGTACAGAAGTCACATCTTTGTTTTAATAAATACATATTTACCTTTATGTGCACTAGAAAAAAATACCTCACACTTTAAGGTGACAACTCTGTGGATTCTATTGCTTAGGAGAAATGACAGTATAGAACACCAAAGTGATCTACGTGAAATGGATGAAATGAATTGTATATAAGTGCAGCACATGAAATGAATTGTATATAAGTGCAGCACAGCCCATGCCAGGATTAGGCTGAGAGAACAAATGGCAGGCATTTCATACTTTTCTTTTTTTTTAATTTTTAAAAATGTTTTATTTATTTCTGAGAGAGAGACAGCGTGAGCAGAGGCGGGTCAGAGAGAGAGACACAGAATCTGAAACAGGCTCCAGGCTCTGAGCTAGCTGTCAGCACAGAGCTACGCAGGGCTTGAACCCACAAACCATGAGATCATGACCTGAGCCGAAGTTGGACGCTTAACTGACTGAGCCACCCAGGCGCCCCTGCAATTTTGTGCTCTTCATCTCCTAGTTTATCAATGCCTTCCTCTGAGAACACAGACATCATGTAGATGGATGGAGATACTTTTTGGAAAAATATAGCTCATTTTTTTCAAAACGAAAAAGCTTTGGATTTGCCCCTTCTCTAGGAAGAAGGGATTAAACTAAAGCGTACAAGGGCAGCAATGGTCTATTTGTCCCAACATCAGACTGGTAAATACTATAACAATGCAAAATAACAAGAAAAAACATTGAAGCAAGAAGAAAATGTCTTGTCACATAGGCGACTATCACCTTCAGGTTTTCACCCAGGAAGCCCTGTGTGAAATGAGGCAGTGAGTTAAAAGCAGCTATAGATACAGTGGCAGCATTAAGAGATAACACAGAGAGAACGCAACAGGAAGGGGGTTCATTTACTGAGGGTCAAATGACCTTATACACACCAAAACCCCGAATATGACTACCTGGCGGCACAGCACAAGGAGCAGTTAATGTAAAGATTCTGAATCACCAAGAGTGAGAGATTTGACGTCTCTTCCCCTTGCCCTACCTCCACCAGTGGAGAATACTCTCCTTGAATGGGGCTCATCCATGTGACTGTACTTTGGCCAAACTGCTGACCTAAGTCAAGCAGAGGCCTGAGGGCGCCTGTGCACCCGGGCTTGCCTCGGGGTGTGTGTTACTGCTGCCTCCTCAGCCTGGTACTCAAAGCAAATATTTGCAGGTGGAGTAGAGTCCAAAAGCAGCGAACCTAGCCCGGTCAGGTACATGTCTAGGAGCAACGTTTCCAGCCATGCCTGTCCTAGAGCATCTGACCCCATGACAACCTAGAAAAACACGGAAATAACTGTCAAATATGTTATGATTTGGGCATTTTTTATGAGGACATGATATGCAGCATAACTGTGGCTCAAATTAGCTAATATACCAAGAAAAAAAAATAGGTGGTTGGCTCAATGTTTTGTATCAGAAATAAGGAAAGATGTTTTATGGAATTTTCTCACAAGAATATTTATTTGTGTTTTTTTGTTTTTGTTTTTGTTTTTGTTTCTGAAAAGGACACGTTTCAGACACATGGAATATTGGCTTACCGGAATATTTCTTGATGTTGTTATTATTCTTTTCTTTATAATCTACAACTTCTACTCTGCCACTCTTTGTGCTCAATACTTAATTACACTCATGACATTGCACAATAAAGGGGCCCCCTCAATACTAAAGATTGATGAAGGGGTGCCTAGGTGGCTCAATCGGTTAAGCCTCCAACATCAGGTCAGGTCATGCTCTCCCGGTTCATGGGTTTGAGCCCCGCATCGGGCTCTGTGCTGACAGCTCAGAGCCTGGAGACTGTTTCAGAGTCTGTGTCTCCCTCTCTCTCTGACCCTCCCCTACTCACGCTTTCTCTCTCTCTCAGAAATAAATAAAACATTAAAAAAAAAGATTGATGAAGCTGTCACTTTATCATTTGCTGACTATTCTCCTACCTCTTATTCTTTCTCAGTATCTTTTCATAACTCTACTTCCTCTGCCAGATCTTTGACAGTGATCCCTAAGGTTCCAAATCTATCCCTTGTTTCACTCTGCACATACTCCTTTGATGATCTTTATACTCATATGGCTTTAACTTCCATCCTTAGCTCCAGCCCTGACCTCCTTTCTGAGCTCCATACCCTTATAGCCAACAGTCTGCTGGACATTGAAGGGGGTTCAGAATGAACCTCCCCAAAACATACTACTTTGGAATGTAGGTTATATTGGGCAGAAACAATCAAGGACCAAGGCTCAGGAAGTCCTTAAACCTCACCGCTCAATTGTCTCTAAGAATTTAGATACAAGGCCAAGTCCAGGGAAAGAGCTATCACTGAAGAAAGAGTATGGGGCTGGGCACAGTAGGCTGGGGTGGAGTGGGGAGGAGGGGGGACTTGGCAAGGCCTACCAGTTCAAATTCCTCTCTATCCCATGGTCTCCACATGGCATGGCAAACGTTCGTTTACCAAACATGAGCCCTTCCCATCTTCCTGCGAATTGTCTTCCTTCCCTTTGAAGCTCTAGGCCCCTATCCACTTCTCCTAAGCTCAGAATGGCTTATAAGCCTCAACTTTCTGACTCTCTTCGAATCTCTCATGTCCGTGTGAGGCTCCCATATATCTGAAATTAATTTTTCTCCTGTTAATTCCATTTTATGTCAATTTAATTCATAGATCAGCCAAAAGAACCAAGGAGGATAAAGGATTTCCTCCCCAACAACATAGCCCCATCCTAATGCAAACCCTCCCCTTCTCCCGTTTTCCATATTTTGAGGAACCACCTTGCACCCAACGGCATGAATGAGAAACCCCACAATCTATTCGATGCCTCATTTTCTACATTCAGTTGGGCATATGTTACATTACTTTAGTCTCTGTAAATGTTCAGTTCTCTCATTCACAACTTGGGTTAGAATTACTGCCTCCTAATTACTCCTCCGGCCCCAGGCCTTACCTTCTCCTCTCAAGACACCTCTCTATGCTATTAGTAACGTTTTTCCTCAGTAAGTCAAACTGAGGGAGAGCAGTTTCATATGATTTCACTTACATGCAGAATCTAAAAAGCAAAACAAATGAAAAAAGAAACAAACAAAAAGGAGAGTCAGACCTATAAAGACAGAACAAACTGATGGTTGCCAGAGGGAAGGAAGTGGGGGGCGGGGTGAAAGGGAGTGGGAGATACAGGCTTCCAGTTATGTAATGAAGAAGTCACAAAGATGAAAAGCCCAGCGCAGGGAATATAGGTGATGATACAATAACATTTTACAATGACAGAAGGTAGCTACTCATGTGATGAGCATAGCATAATGTATAGAGAAATTGAATCACTATGTCATATACCTGAAACTAATGTAAATTGTGTGTCAACAATATTCAAAATTTTTTTAAAAAGCTTTTAAAAAATGTTTTTCCTCAACGTAAATGTTCTCATACCAAATAGTGCTCAAAATCATTTACTACTGTTGCAGGAAGTTCTGAATAAAAACAATGTATCTTTAGATGGCATGCAAAGCCCATTCATCTCAGCTTTATTTCTCCTCCTCCAACTTCCCACACTCCAGCTCTAATGAATTACAAAATCTGCATTTTCTGAATCCGGTCAGCTGCTCTTTCTGTGACTGTCCTCCACTTCTACCGCCACCCTCCCCTAAGCAGTTTCAAAGTCTTATGCACACATCTCTACCATAGTACTTATCACATTGCATCACCAGTTGGTCTACTTACTGATTTATTTCCCTCATGGTACTGTAATCTACCTTACAGCAGACACAATGTCTTATCCTCCTTATAGTCTTAGTGATGGGAGGGCATGGGGCAAGCTGAGGGCAAAACACAGGCTAGCAGCCTCCCTCCACAAGTGGACTGTGTGTGATATTCCTCAGACACTCCTGGCTACTCAAGAACAAAGGGAAGGGGTTAAAATGCTTGCCATGTTAATGTGGGAAACTAAGGCAAATGAAAAATTAAGTTCCCTTACTGCCTACAGCCCACTGACAAGTCCTTGAAACTGGCAGAGTGACCTCCCTCTAGGAGCTCAGCTGCCTGGATGATGACCCTTTGTAGGGGCAAAAGAGAATCTTGGTTTAACATTATCCCAAGCTCAAGGATCCTATAAATTGACTTCCTTTCTCAGCTGCCCCAAGACATATACTTGGCAATCATACTCCAAGATTACGGCCCCCCGATATACATCTGAAGGGCCTCGTGACTGAGGTTTTATTAAACAGTAAAAAATGGCATCTCCCTAGAACAGCTAGTCCCTCAAAGTCCTGGAAACCTTGCTTCCAAAATTCCTTAGAGACTTACTCTATCCCTGACCCCCTCCCAACTTGAAGGTATAGAATAAGTTACCCATCACAACCTCAGTACAACTCTTCTGCCCCCGGGTCCTATCCCTGTGCTCTAATAAAATCACTTTTTGCACTGAAGTCTTCTTCAGGAATTCTTTCTTGGCCATTCGTTCCAGACCACCCCACCATCACCCTGAAACTTCATCACTAGAATCTACTATAGTAGCTCTTATGCATTAGGCATATAATATATATTTGATAAATGAATGAATAAAAATATTAGTAGATGTTCAAGAAACATTGGATTTAGGATCCAGCTAGAATAGTCAGGGTGGTTTTTATTAACTCATTTTAAAGTTGGGAGAACAGAGACTTAAAAAGAGTAATTCCCAGGACATTAGGCAAGAATTCGAGAATGCCATACTTGTAATCCAAATCTTTAGACATCTAGACACGCACCATTATTCACATCATATTCATTCATTTATTTATAAATATTTTCTATTGCCAAGTTCCGGACTCTTTCCTCTGTAGTCTCCATTCTGTTACTG